CCAAGTTAAAAGGTAAATGCTGCTTAACCTCTATCTAAACAGCTGTATTAAAAGACTATGAGTTTCTTGACTAAAATCACCGACATACATGTACCTGCTTCTATCATGCACATACTTTCAGGCTATAATATATATACTGGGGCAAATGGCTCAAAGGTAATCTCCAAGCAGATTCGGTGGGGCAAGGGTACTTTATATTTGTCCTGCATCCATTGGCCGCCTGTATCCAACATTCGCCCCACGAATGTTGGATATAGGCAGCCAATGGATGCAGGACTGGCCAATATAAAGTCCCCTTGCCCCACCGAATCTGCTTGGAGATTAGCTCAAAGGTACATGTAGGTGATCAAGACCCCCTCCTTGCCCCTGGTAGTGAAGTGTACTACCCCCTGTGTAGCGCAGTATGGAGACCATCCCCATTTATAACTGACACAAAATGAACTGTGTGAAATGAGATTCAGTGGGGGTGAGGAAAGGCAGAACATGTCTGGATAAATAATGCGGCTCTCAGAGGGTATAGAAAGAACATCTTGTGGCTTTGAAAATTATTGATTAACAATTAAAGCAATCCAGACTTGATGTTATGAATGATATTGTCTGAATTTCCCAATTACTAACCTTCAGAAAGGAGGTAAAAAGCACAGTCGGTTATTGTAAAACCCCTATCAGAGCCTCTGTTTAGGGCACAGACAGGTTGACCTACAGTCTGTCCCTATAAGTAGGTCAGTACAGCCCCTGGCAGATGCCATCTGGGCGAGGAAACCCCTCTGCTGTCAGTTTGTATAAGCTCATACTGCTGGGGACTGTACATTGTTGGGATGTAGAGGGTCTGTTTCCGCTTTAAAGGATCATATCAAAAATACAAGATGATCTGTTTGTCTTTGTTTAGGTCATACATGTAGGTAGTGTCAGCTTTTATACATTGTTATGCTGCCTGGTACCCTTAGACTGCATCTGTAACAATCAAGAAGATCTTCATAAGAAATTACTCTCTTAACAAACTCTTTTATATCTCATTACCAGTGCTGGATGTCTAACCTTCATCGACGTTAAAAGATCTAACAACAATGCAACATCAGTGATTCTTTATTGACACAACAGAAAAGTACAGGGACTTTAGTATAAATGACTGTCCCTTTATTTGAAGTCTTCCTGTTGCAAGAGACTTGCATTGCCACAACTTTCAAGATCCTCCCAATAATTGTGTATGCCCTGGTTTAGGGAGACAGTGAGTGAGTGTGAGTGAGCCTTGGTGACCAGAGCAGGATACATGACTGGCATTTTGATACATCCGTTTTCTGGCTGATTATGCACGGTTTTCTGATGGTGACCTTGCTGTGATGTCTCTTGAGTGTGACAGCTTCGGCAGCTTTAGTTCTAAAAGCCTTGACATTGGTGTCTTTTAAAGGCATCAATCTGACTTTGCTGTTCTGTCGTGGAGGAGAATGTTGGGAGGATAGTTGGCCTTTGAACGCAGATGTTTTCATTGCTATATGATGAAACATATCACTGCGACAGGAGCAGTAATAGTGGCGACACTACGAGACTTGAGGATCAGACACCTAGACCCGATTTACACATTGGGCAAAAACCTGATGTATGGAAACTGCATATGCAGAACATACAAAACTTTCCTCCTTGTATATCTGCCAGCTTTGACATACATTAATATCTTATCTTACCTTCAGGGCTGGCATACAACCTGAACATGTGTTCAGTTTACTTACATCAAAGCAGGCCAGTTTACATGCAAGAAAATCTCAATGTACACAGTTTTTGTAAGCTCACATGCGTACAGTAATACAGTTTTTGCGTGGTCAGGTTTTTGCCTACATGTAAACTGGGTCCTACTCACCTTTAGCCAGGATAGACCTTTAGTATGCCCACAGGCAATACCAATGCCTTTGGCTTTACCCTTGAGGGGTAGAAACATATGTCCCTTCACCAGTTACCAGTGTTAAACTTTCCTTCGGGGAATGTTGGCCATGTACCTTTCCTCTGTGTAGCAAGGTCCAGCTGGAATAGTCTGGCATCCAGGCCACTCAGTCCAGGATACTTTCTGCAGGCTCCTTTCTCAGTTCTGTGATCATTTCTTTGATTGGTCAAGACCTAACCACATACTGTAGGGCTGTACCAAATCTCATGATAATCAAGTCATAGCCCCATGATTTACACTGGCATACAAACAAATATACTGAAAACATAACCTTGACAAATGAAATTACCAGGCTTCAGTGAATGTCAGAGAAATCTGTTTAATACTTTGCAAATCCTGGAATTAACTGGCCGTAGCTGTCAGTTCTGTGAGCATTCAGGTCAGGATAGGATTTGTGAATCCTCTGCCCAATATACAAGTGCTGGTGGCCAGCTGAGCTGCCATTTTAGCTAATCCCTGGATTTAAGAAGGTAACCTGACACTCGTAAATTACGTCAGTTGACACCTCTTAGGTTCTGGAGATAGCAGGGTCACCTGTCAATTACTGAAACCATGTCTTGTCCTGTGCTTCATCAGGATGCTACAGCTTTGCTCCCCTGTTTCTATTATCAACCATTGGATTGGATTTTCTTGTGTTACATATACATGTTCCTGCTGGCATGCCCCCAAGGAATCAGTCGCAAATCACGTCTAAGGTTTGAAATCCTGGAATTAAAATGGTGGCCTGTGTCAAGCCTCTGGGCTGATGACTGTTATTAAATAGGTTAGCTGTGGTGCTGACACAACAGTTCTTTATAGAGGCAAAGATTTTTATGTATGACCACAGTAGATTTTTGTATCAATCAAGTATTTAAATTTGAAGTTAACACCGTTTTTTTAAGAAAGGCTAACACTGATTTTGATCACTGAAAATAAAGAGAGTATTTGATACATTTGTAGCTGTCCATTATATTGCAAATTTGAAATTCTACAACTAGAATTTTCTTGATATTCCTTCTCCTGCCATTGGGTGAAATGGATTCTTCCCAATAATAAGTGTTACATTGTTGTGTTTGATATGGGATTTACCTATTGAGTATTGTTAGTCTAAAAAATGATTTCCAATAACAAGTCTTCAGCTCCTGATACAGGTACACATTCTATTGTAAACCCCCTGTTTGGGCTTACAAATGTGATTTTCATTGGAGGAGAACATTTCTCACCCTAGGATTATCATAAACTAAAAGATTTATTGATCATCGACAGCAATTACCACTTTCCACAGCCAAACTGTGTGCGACGTTTGAATCTGTATCGTGTAACCCATTTTGCCTTTGTCAACAAATACAATCTGCACTACAGAAATGACTATGGTTAGCGCTGGTTACCTGTTATTAAGGTATGGTTAAAGCTGTGATTTATGCATGAGGCTTCATTAAGTGCAATGATGTAGGTCCGAGCCGCTTGTTTTGTCCGGACAAAGCCGGGCGGTTTGAATATCAGCCCGGTCACCTGATATGGTAATACGGGAGGGACCCGGCATGCGGCTGAATGGGAGACCATTGTATACACTTTCAACAGGGCACGGCAACCCTCTGTACAAACATGTGTTACATTCTTCACTTACCCTGGCTTTGTGTCAGCCCAAACCCACGGACAAACAACCTTCCTGTACACCACTGCATCCAATCCAATCTTATATCCTTGTGATTTATAATCAGTATTTATAGTTGTCAGAATCACTTGTGAAAAAAATGGCAATTTCAAGTATTAAAATGTTGGCTATTTGTGTTGGTAAATAAAGTGGGAATGAATGATCAGATTTTCTGGTACATGTATAATATATATACGGTAACTAATAAAGGAAAAATTGAATTGCACCCACAATAATTATGTCATTGTGGGTGCAATGGTATTTTTCAATCATATACATGTCAAATCTAGGCACTTGAATTATGATGGTTGTATTCTTTTCTTGGTTCAGTGTCAGTTGGTTTTTGAATGGAGGGATGTTGTTGCATCTAATTATTGCCAATCAACTCAATGGTTATTCAGTTTTTAACTGTCAGCCAATTAAACAATTATTAATTGATTATCAGCCTATAGCTTTAACAATCAGCTTCTAATTACTAAGATCACAATGACAGCAATGCTTGGTGTGAGCATTATTTACTGGTCAATTTGAGATCAATTCAATGATTGTAACTCAATGTTATGATGTGGCTACTTATACTACATATAAGTTTGGTTTCAGATGCATATTATAATAGAAATCTAGTACAAGTATGTTACACCAAAGGGCAGCTATAAATAGTATAATATACGAGTTGACAATTAAGAGTTAATTTTGAGTTTTCAAATATGCTCTGAAACTCTGTGGTGAAACAGAATGAATTGAAGAAAAAAGTGCCTTTTGGAATGACTAGTAGATCACTGAAACTATAAACAACATATTTCAGATAACGCGTTGAATAAAGTTTATTGCAAGGTTCATGCCCAAGGGCTAATTGCAAGAACATGATAACAAACAGCAAAGATAATAATAAGTAATGCTCTAAATGCTACTTTGGATATAGTTATTGTTGTCAGATAACACGCACCTGTCCTTATCGGACTACTACTGTACATGTAACACACCTATGTAAATTATAGGTCTAGAAGTCTTTAATAGGTTGTTAATAATGTTGCACAAGTCTATGGGAGGGCCTATTGTCAGTACTGTCAGCTGCCCTAGCCTGGGGTATCTACAGTAAGGCATGTATTGTGTGGAAAGGTCAGAATAGAGATAGGGAGGATGATTGTGTATGTCCAGTGTGCATTCAGCATGACTCAACATCATGTGTGTTGGCTTTAACCAAAGCACACATTCCTACCCAATGGCTAAGTACATCGTGTGACAAGCTACAAGTTATTACCTTTACACAGCTGGCAAAGGCCAGCTACTAGTTAGGCAAAAACAGTTCATAGACAAGTCTCTTCCTATCTTCCATGGTTCAGGCAAGGATGAATACTGTAAATCAGGTTATGTTCATGGTAGCGAAGATAGATGAAACTTAAATGTTTGTTACACTGTGTTATTCTATAGTGCTGGTCCAAAAGGAGACAACCTGTATGAATGGGTGTCCACCATCCTGGGGCCACCTGGGTCTGTGTACGAGGGCGGAGTTTTCTTCCTGGACATCCACTTCTCACAAGACTATCCCTTCAAACCTCCTAAGGTGAGCCCTGGCTGCTGTTGGAGATTTTGTCAAGACCTTTGACGCGTCTGTAGTAATTGATCCTCAGAAAGAAATGAAGTGACACGACTGTTAATTTGTGCCTGTCCAGGTGACATTCCGGACTCGTATCTACCACTGTAACATCAACAGCCAAGGTGTGATCTGTCTGGACATACTGAAGGACAACTGGAGCCCCGCCCTCACCATCTCCAAAGTCCTGCTGTCCATCTGCTCACTGCTAACTGACTGCAATCCAAGTAAGCATGAAAATATCATATACTCCAAATCTTAACAAAATTTAATCAACATTATCACCTGAAACCATGATTGCAGAAATTTAAAGGCATCCAATGCTATTGCAGGGCGGCAAAACACAATTGAAAATAGTCTGAGTGAGCAAATCTGTCTGATATTGACATTTATTACTGCCATTTCTTTGCACGTTCCTGTCATCATTTTATACTCGAATCGAGGGGACTGCCCATAAATTGCTAGAACCGGCCTACAGTACATACAACAACAAGAAACCATTTTCTGTCAGTGACATCCCATTTTTGCCTCACAAATATCAGAATGCTATATTAAAAGAATGACCAAAAAGAATCTACTTGAAGATCCAGTTTTTCAATTCTGAAATTACATTGGATGCCTACAAGTATGGATTCCCACTTACATGTGCATATTGGACACCCTTTATAGTCATGTCTGGTGGGAATGCTGTTATGAAATATATCTCTAGAGATGTATAATATAAGATAGCATATCCCAGCAATGGGCACAAATGGAGGCTCAGATGTGCCATGAAGTAACACGTACAGTTTGGCCCAGTGTGACCCAGTGTGACATTGCTCGCCTGACAATTCATTACAATCTACTACAGAGCAAAGTAGGGGTGTTGAGGCCTCAGCACTGTTCTCCCAAATCACAGTGACTTGTATGGCTTCTGTTTTTCAAAGACCCACCTTGCAAATTTAAGTTAGGATACCATCACAAAGGAAAGCGAAGAAATCTGCACACTGTATTAAATGTTACACCAAGGTTATATGTAGTTAGGCCAATACATACTCAGACTGAAAATATAACATTTTTGCCATCCAACAGTAGTGTTCAATTAAGTTGAAACCATTGACAAGATTTACAGGTATCCTTAGTACAAATTTTATCCCAATTCAATCTGAGACTCCGTATTATCAAAACAGGTGTATCTCTGGTATCTAGAAAAATTTCAGGCATTTTAAGAACTGAATCTGGGTTGCCTAGATCAGGACACATGTCTACACAGTAAATCCATACTTAAGGCAAAAATATCCATTGGTATGTATTATTGGTACATGTAGATGGGTTTTTCCATTTGATATTGGAGGGAGTGGTAGGTATTGTACCTATAACCTTGTCCCAATCTTATCAAAGGTTAAATCCTATTTTGAGTTTCTTTGTTTATTGGTTTGGCTTCAGCATAACATACAGCCAAGGCTGCCTAACTCTAACTCTAGTTACCAGGACGAGTAAAACTATGTATGTTTATGTAATAACAGGACGATCAAGGCAAACTATCTGCTGAAGTATTTCATATACAGAATGTTCGGTGCCTTAGGCTTAACTCATTCAGACAGCATAACTGTGAGAGGTCAAGGTCAGTATTTGTTTTGTGAGGAGCCCTTAGTCAATACCAATTTAATTTTTTTTCTGGTTTCCTGAAGGTTCTTATGAGTCCTATTTTGTTAGATCGCTTGTTTATACTCTAAGGCTACACCAATTTAATTTCTTGGTTAACGGATTCGCCCACTTCATTTTTTTTACTGATTCGCAAATAAAAATATAAATTCAGAATCAACTGCAAAATGCTCATATTTTCATCCTAGTTGTTACAGTTATTTCATCTTTCAATGCAATGGTATCATTAAAATTCATTGTTTAAATTTTGAACCAGCCTGGTGTGTTGACTTCATGGCTCCTATTGTACCATTTTGGGCAATAATAGGATGCCTAGGCCTGTTTTTATTTATTTATTCTTTTTCGCCCGCCCGCTCCATTATTTTTCTAGAAAAATCCGTTAACCAAGAAATTAAATTGGTGTGGCCTTAGGCTTAACTCATTCAGACAGCATAACTGTGAGAGGTCAAGGTCAGTATTTGTTTTTTGAGGAGCCCTTGGTCAATACCAATTTAATTTTTTTCTGGTTTCGTGAAGGTTTTTATGAGTCCTATTTTGTTTGATCGCTCTAATCGTTGTACTTTTTGTCTATATAGCTCTGATCAAGGACATTATGTGTATAATGTCCTTGCTCTGATTAATTGTTTGTTGTTTTGTTTCCAGGTGACCCCCTGGTTGGCAGCATAGCCACTCAATACACAAACTCCAGAGAAGAGCATGATAGGATAGCTCGCCAATGGACCAAGAGATATGCCACATAAAGCCACGAGAACTGCCGCCAATTTTGCCCAAATGTACATGTAGCTAGTAAAACAATTTCCTACATGAACTGCTTTAGTTACATGTGAATTGTAATCTGCATACTATAGAGAAGACTGTTGGAAGAGTAAGAAAAGTAAAGTTTTGGAAAATGAAAAAAAAAAAAGCAATCTCGTCTTGCCGTTTTGTAGCCATGCACTAACTAGAAGTTACTAGTAATATAGACTAGTTGTATGAAGGTTGTTAATTGTAATAGAATGTGATCATGAGAGTAGATGCTTGACTGTTTGACGTCAAAATGATGTACATGAAAACTTGCCTATACATTTCAGCAGTCTGATTCTGAAACATTTTTGTTACTTAAATTGCCTTTTTCTTTACATGAATGCTCTCTAACCGTATTGTGATATTTCCCAAGTTTCCAAAGATGTCACGGCAATAGTGAGACAATTTTTGACAGATTTAGTGTTTCCATTGTTTTTTTTGGGAGAACCGAAGAGTTATTCAAATATTGTAAGAGAGAGCCCAACAAAATCAGTCCATTCAGGTTTAAGTGGAGCTTTTCCATGGGTAGAGTGGAATATGGTTATGGAAAAACAATAGATGTAGCATCACGAAGATAAATGCCTTCAGATGCATTTTCAACCTCACTGATATTATCAGAGTAAACTCATATTCACATACAATCTGTCATCACGAATGTAAGGACATAGATTTTTTTATCAATGGTATTACATTTATTTAGTTGTTGTACTGTAAGCTATTGAATGTGTATGCAGTCCTTGCAGCCATACTCGTTAACAGGTGGCAGTCGTAATGTCTTATACAATGGCATTGTAGTTGTTTGTTTAGGAAATTCCATTGGAATACAAAATTTGATGGAGAAATTCCCTACCATTAGCACGGCGATCCAGGTATATTAGTGAAGATGTGATATATTTTGCCAAAGACGTTTGCTCATTTGTGCTAAAAGTATCTTTTTTAGATTTGCAAATGTGGGTATAGCCAATCAATGAAAACTCAGATGGTTTCTAGTTGTACGTCCCTGCCTATATGCTAGCACATATTGCCTGCCCTGTTCAAAGGTATAAAAGAATGCTGACCATCTGAAAATTTGTAACACCATTTGGTTTATGTAGGGTGAAGCAGAAAAGAAACATTTTGTAGATTTAGAATAAGGGAAATGCTACGTACATTTTTTGATATGATGTTTTTCTTATAAGTTAGTGAATACAACTTTTTTCATGTCATTAAGTGCATTACATACTTCACAACTGCTAGCACTACAGTATTTATTCCTATGTCATTATTTTAACCTTTATGGTGCTGTATGGACTGTAGCCATTGATTCATTGTCAGATTGTCTAAACTAAACTGCAATAATTGTGGATTCATGCCAAGCAGTTGGACTGTACGTCCCCTTTATCAGACTGATGTATTTATTGTAAATAAATGTTACACAGAAACACAAACAGTCCGAGGTTTACTGACTCAGTTTGTTTTGGGAGGGCCTTTTCAGATGGCTTAGTGATGGCAGGGGTTGTGTACCATATGCTGGGACAATGTAACTCACTCAGAAAACCTTGGAAGAAAAAAAGAAAACTTTGAAGGAAAATGTGGAATTGGAAGTTTTAGTTTGTTTAATATAATACATTGTCTATGTTAACAGAACCAATTTTCACCGGATAGGAAATTTATTCGCAGTTATTCATTTATTGATATTGGTTTGGCTATAAAAGGCATACAACCAGTCCAACTAGCTGTTGGCTATTTAATAATCCAAAGACATATTTGCTGACAAAGACAATACAGGAAACAGAAACCAAATTAACCACTGGTAGTATGCATATTTACAATTGTACCTACAGTATCTACAGTACTTAAGACCACAGTAACAGAGGTCAGGGTTAGTATGTACAGAGTGTCTCACAGACATTCCCAGTGTCTTGAAGTAGGCAGCAATGGTGGCATTATCAGTGGAAGCAGGAAGGTAAGACCCTGTTCATTTAAGATAACTGGTTGAATCCTTTATAACCAGCCATGTTGCTTAGTAGATAAATGTTGGCTAGTTGTCCTATCTTTATTACATGTATTTCTATTTTGGCACTACATGATTGTATTAGATTTACCAGTACATATTTGTGTATGTAGTATTTCACAAAAGGTTACACAATCATATAAGCATCAGTTAGATCTTTATTTAAAACATTTGCTGAGCTGTGCCTAATACATGTTCATACACAAACAATAACACAAAGGCCAATGAAAATTAACTGTTCAAGCCCATAGCAACATCAGTGTCTGCAGTAGGCCAGTATTTCCTGTTGCTATGGCATGATGATACTATCTCACCCACCTACACTGAGAACACACCTTTTTCTGACCTTGGTCTTTGAAAACTGAAACACCAGGTGTTATGTCCAAGAAACAAACAACAGCAAAGGACACACAAACAATGGAGCAGAACTTTGGAACGAAAACTAGCTGTGCTGCATTACTGAGAACTATTGGCTTTGCAAACAGTTATAACCAATTATTGATCTTAAGTACCAGTACAAGGGACTCACACCTTTGACTTAAGAGTACATGTGTGCTCAGCAAACAAATGGCCAATATCCATTCAGACAAAAATTTACTGGACTTGGTTGAATGTGACAGCTTAGGAAATGTGTAGGAAATTGTTTAAACTTTAGAAGAAGTGTTTTGATCTTAAGTGTCAAAATGTATGAGATGAAAACGGGGGATAAACTGGAGTATCTTTTTGACAGGTTGGTTGAGCCGGCGGGGGTTGTTAGATTTGCTAATCCCTTGGAGTACATTTGCCGTGCTCTCAGCCACCGGCACCCCCTCTTTTGAAATATCACGTCCGACTTTAAATTTGTCTACGTCCAAGTCGAGTCTCAAGGATTGGTTTAAATCTTTCCTTGTAACAATGTGTGTCTATTTTGACCGAATATTGTGGTGATGTAGGGTAGACATTATCGGGAAATGAGATTAAAAATTCCGCGCAGTGACCACTGGAATTTCCGGAGGGAGGGAATGGGAACAGCCAGGAATCTGTCGGGAGGCCCGGGCACGCGGTGCAGGTTTGTGTCCACCAAATTTTCATCATTTTCGCGCGGTTTTGCGGGAAATTAGCGGTCAATGTCGAACTTCACGGCTTGTGCTAGACCCAAACTCCCGACAAATGGCGGAAATAGAGCGATCCCTGCCCTGTGATTGAGACAGGAACGGATAGTTTTGTACCGGCTGTTTTGCCTCAATTACTCTTTGATGATGCATTGACTCGACTTCAATGTCGGTTGTAGTGTGTAACGTTACCTTTATTGTTAGACAAAGTGTCTATGTTTGAAGTCCTTTTGATTCCCTTGCTACTTATTCTGAAGAGTCTCCTTGAGTATTATCAGTGACACGAATCATTTAATTGGTGATTTAAGATTTAAATGGCCGGTGTTTCACAGTGACATTTTATTCCGAGGGGATGTTGAATTCTCATCCCATTTTTTTTTTTCACTCCACAGGATTCGAGCCATCGAGACTAGTTTGAGGACTGTGTATCTAGTTTGTGGGGATTGTCGGTGCCCTGGGAATTGAACCAGTGACCTTGGGGTCCCATTCCAGGCGCAGTTGTCCCTGGTGTGATCTGCGGTAGCGAAGTGAGGGGGTTCGGAGCCGCACGGAGAGAGACGCAGGAAGATGTCTGCAGCCGAGCAAGCCGGGACGTCTTCAAGTTCTTCCTCCAACTCTTCCCGAAGGCCCAAGGACCAGAGAGACAACAACCTTAAGCTGCTCAAGTCCACCAAGGCGCTGTCCACCAGCGCTAAGAGGTACCAGATCAATTCGGCATTAATAACATAGCGACGCTGCATTTTCTATCACGATTAATCATGCCAGCCTCTCCTTGTAATACTGCCAATCAGCTCATTTGCATATAAGCTAAAACCTTGTACTGTTGGACACAGAAGTGGGGGAAGTCGGCCCGATTTATACCATCTTGTTGGTTGGAAAGTCTAGTTTGACGTGGATGTGGAATTGGTGGTGTTTAAGGGCGGGGAAGGGAGTATGGTGGTGCATGAAATAACGGGAGGGTCAGCTGAGGCGGCCATCTTGTGTGTGTACTTTGCACAGTGATTATGTCGCCTTCCTTTGTCAGCTTCTGCTCATGGTTTATTTTATCGCGTCTCCAGTTGTTTTGGGGGCAGGGATATTTCCCTCTGGGTAACTCTCACCTGTTCCTGGCATTGTTTTTGTGCAGGATCCAGAAAGAGCTGGCAGAAATCACGCTGGACCCGCCGCCCAACTGCAGGTAGATAGATGTGGAGTTGTTAAGGTTAAGGTGAGGTTGTGAGAGTGGAGGCTCTCCCTACACAAACAGAGCCGGCTTTCCACACAGGTGACAAACAAAGGGTCCTCCTGAGTACCCAGGTGTCAAGTAGCACCCGAACAAGTTGGGGTGAAGATGGCCAGGGCTTGGGTTTCTACAGGTGGGGTCGGAGCAAGACTAAACATCTCAGATCTAATTCCTATAAAAGAACCCTTAAGAAGGTCTTAACGTTAACGTTCCTCACCTGACCTAACGTTACATGTTCTAGGTCATGTTTGTACATACATCTCAAAGGGACTTAACAGAAAAAGCAGTTTCTATCCATGTGAACAAAGAAACTGACTGCCTCTTTAAAGCAAACAAAGACAGCTACTTGTAGCAATTTAGGTAAAGCCATGATGTGCAGTATGTGAAAAGTTGAAATAGGTTCAAAAGAACTAGCAGTACATTTTGCCGATCCCCTTTTTACAGAGAGTATTGTGTTTGTTATTCGTGTTGATTATCATTTTCTTTGCAATTCATGATTACCCGCATTATTTGTGGCCATCCCGCCCCTGATTCCCAATGGTGCTAATATATTTATGTTTTCCATGAAAATTTATAGTATCCTGGCTTAAACCAACACTAGCAGTCCACGACTGTAACTGTAGTATGGAATAGCTGCAAAGATATTTGTAATATAGCAGGCATTAACTGTCCCGTTTGTGACATTAAGATTATTGATTAGACTATTACAGTTTTACGAGCATGAAAATGTTACATGTGACCTTGCATCTAATGATCTATTCTTAGGTTTACTACGGTCAGATCTGGTGTGTGTTAACATTTCATTCTGTCGTGTTTCCTTTTAAAAATGCAAAATCTTGTCAGAGTCCATCAAACGTGAGATTTTCAACATTCCCTATTATAGATTATGTTTAAGGTGAACCTAACAAAATGCAGTAATGATAAATAAGGGCCTTGTATAAAGTTGTGCCACAGTGCCATACATAATTTCTTAACCTTTCAATATTATCTTAGACCTTTGAATTACTCTTCTGTAAAGTAAAATTAGTCTTCCAATACAATGTTATTATCATTACGGTCATCAGTGACAGGTCTTTGTAATTGTAACATAAACAAACTGACATTGTCAGCCAAGAGAATGTTATAAAGTGTCCCACAGACAATGACATACTAGTAACAGCTTTTGCAGTATTTAAAACCGACCCTTGAGTAACGTGGAAAGTTAAATGAAAGTGAAAGTGATCAAAAGTGGTGATTTAGTTTTGTTATATTAAGTTTTTTTGAATACGTATATTATATATTTTGCAACAATTCTAAAGACAGGCACATAGACATGTGTTTTTACCCTTAAAAATGAGATAGGGAAAACAAAAGAAAAGCCAGTTGGTCACAAGACTGAAATCCTCCATATAGTATTACTAGCGAATTTTATGATGCCTACATGTGTAATTATTATATGCCATATTAATTATACTGCAAACAACTATACCCTCAGATACCCTCGGTACCATACAGGGTGTTACATTTAATATTACAAGCTATAAAAATAAGTTAAGTTTTGTCTCAGCAGTGTACCATTATGTGCATTGTACTAATCAGTTCCTTTGCTTAATCAAGCTTAGACATTGTCCTTTCAAATATTAATCACACAGTAATTCCTCTCTGTGCTGCTCATTGTGTATGCATACTGCACATGGCTACATTAGTCATGTATGGGAAAGCAGCATGGCTACACAGGTAGTTCATACAGGGCTGGAAATACTGGGTGCATGTGCACCTTAGTGCACCCAAAATTGGAGCTGTGCACCCAATTTTTTTGCACCCAAGTATTTTTGTAGGTATTTTTATACAGATTAAATGTATAATAGTATACAGGATATTCTTGGCATCTAAGGGTCAGACAAATAGAATTTTTCTTGTACTAATGTAGTACTTGTGTAAGATTTTGCAGTTAGGTCCCAGTTCAGATTAAAGCCCAGAAGAGGAGCTGTAATACCTGCAATTAGGTTTTGTTTCATATGGTGCACCAAAAAAATTTCTGTGCACCTAATTTTTTAGGTTGGGTGCACCAGTGCACCTATTCCCAAAATGAATTTCGAGCCCTGTCATATCAACTAGGATTATAAATAAGCTGTTACAGTTATAGGCGGTGGGGTTGTAACCTAGAAATACATAAAATTTGATGTGTGTAAAGTGAGGATAAGGTACAATTCGTCCAGGCTCTAAACTGTGAATGTCATGGTTCGTGATGTCTGTAAATGCTAAAGCCCCCATGAGAGAGAATTCCAAACTGGCAGATATTTATTTCATTAAAGGTCACTCCTCACCCCTGTTATTATTTAGAGACATGCAGGCTTGTGTTGGAAGAACACAGCAACTGCATTTTTGTCTGTGGTGTTACCATACCATATACATGTACGCTCTGTCAGATATATTAGAATGCAGGTATAGAGCAATATTTACAAAAGATTGAATTAGACTAAGAGTTATGGCATTTTTGTCTTATCTATGCCAACTAGAAAGTGGTTTTCTGGGTTTTTTTTTAATATCATCTTGGTTGGAAAACAGATCATTATTTCATTTAGGTAAAGGTAAATACAGTGTCAACTTAGAAGCCCCACCCTACCTAATTCAGGCATATTGCCCTTCAAACCATGTCTATCCCAAGTGACTGCCTTCTCTGAGAGTAAACCATGAATATAGATTTCGGTATTTGAAAATTGAATGAAACTGTTGTGTACATTTACATGTGATGCTGGTCTGTGACATTGCTAAGTTGTCTCAGCTTCTTAGTGATAGTACAAGAGCTGTGATGTCATTTTAATCAAATTATGAAGGACAAAAAGAAATATGCTAAACAAATCAAGGTTCAGATTATACATTATCATTGGATGGTAGGACTAAGATTTGGACCCAGTGCCTGATGATGTTTTTAAAAATGACAACAATTACTTTAGAATTCTTTGTTGGTAAGTCAATGTGTGGTAATGGTCTATTGTTCGTTGTTTTGGTTCTATGGACCATATATAGGGCTGCATTTTCCAGGTGTAGGTAACAACAACTTACTGCTTTCTGGAAATGACGCAATTTTGTTTAGATATTACATGTACAAAGAAAATTTTCAATCCTGTTTATATGCAGTAATTCACATGGTCTGACAACAAAGTGTCCAGACCATTATGCATAATGTAGTTGAGATGTATGATATTAATTTTGTTGATTTATTTGTGAGTATTTATTGACTTGCCCTGAAATTTCCTACAAATATAGGTTAGAATTTTTGTAAGACTGTGTCTATTCTTACTAGTACAATCTTTAGGCTCCAATCTTTCCTTTCTCAGTTTGACATTTTAGTCATCTCTAAGCAGTAGAAATTGCTTTTGACAGTTGGGGATGTTTGTTAACAATGTAAATGATTTTCCTAGTGCTCCTTGAAGTCCTTTCTTGTTAGTCCTTTTTATCTAGTGGTATCAGAGGAACAAAGGACGAGATAACGACTGGCCTTCTGTTGGGCCATTGTAAGCTGAATCAGCCTTTGAAGTAGGATCATGCCCCCTGGTCTTTTGTTTAGGTCCTCCTGTTTTTCTTGTCGGGCTTGAATCAGACATGAGCCCCTCCCCACTTCACCTTGATGTCTAGCTTTGAAGGTCACAAATTACGTTGTATTTCAGGGTTTCTGAAGGTAGTGATTCTTACCAATGCTATGGACACCAGGGTCCCATTGCCTTTGAACCACTTGTTTTGTGTCTCTTGCCTGGAAAAACTAACAGCATTTTGGATCTCTAATGCAGTCCAAAGAACATGCCTTTTCAGTATGCATTTTTATTCTAATCTCCAAGCAGATCTTTTAATGGCTGCAAAGACATAATCAAATTGGCCAGGTAGTAGTATCCATTTGCCAGGCAGTTACCATTTGCCACCCAAAAGGTTGGCGTAAAAGAAAAGACTCCAGTACAAAAAAAAAAGCCAGATGAAAATGCCTAAAAACACATCAAGATGATAAAGAATAAGCCAAAGCCTAAACCTCTGCTTGGAGATAATTTTTGTTTAGGATTTTTGTTCTTGTAAGACATGAAAATATGAAGAGATTGTAAGCTGCATGTACCCTTGCTGTGTAGGATAGTACCCGGCTGTGGTTTCTTTATGTACAGCAAGCTAACAGATGGCATACATGAAAAGGGGGTCATGAGATCAGATCAAAGAGATGCAGGATTTCCATTGCCTAGGCTGTAGCAGGTGTCTACTGATTGTGTAGATAAGTCCCAAACTATAGTATAGCCCTGCAAAATCTTTACTGCGCATTTTATGGTCATAGTAACTGTTACTAGTGTTAGTGTAGGAATCAGGTAAAATGATACAAACTGGTAAGTAATGGCTTCATTGATGCTGATTTTGGATAGAATGTCTACATACAATTATGTATGTACCCAGCAGTTTTGGTCCTATCCAAAAGATAGTGGCATTGCAAAAGCATTATTCAATAGGGTAATTCTACTTTGTATTCTTGTTCAAGAATATGTATGAGAACAAGGAGGGAAAGAAAAGAAATAATGTATCAAGTCCTCAACCCTAAGTATTGTAAGTGTACATTTTACTGTGCCCTACGACCCAGGTGTACTTAAAGGGATAGGTATCAATATATATTATATCCCCTCTTAACAGAAATCTATTCTGCTACCAAAGATACATGTAGCTCCCAGAATGGCCTCTTTCTTCCAATATGTGTATGTAGACTTGCCTGTGCTTGGTCAGACATATCTTGCCATGTTACCCAAAGCATACTAACTACAGAATTATCTGATGCAGGTTATTAGATATCTGTTGCTGTTACGCAAGTGACCCTGTTCATGAAGTGGCACTGTCTATTGCATGTAATTTGATTGACAAATCGTATAAGGTCTCAGACTCTGAGTGGCTGCTCCAAGTCAAGGATGCAAAAGCTGTTTTCCACTCAGTGTTCATAGGAAAATTTGGCA